TTCTGAAGGAACACCAGAGAAACAGGTCTCTAAAACAGAAATTCCAGACAGAGACAAAAGGTAAAGAAGGACCTAGAAGAGTGGACCTGAGGAAAATAGTTATTGATAAAGCCTGGTAGCTCTGTGGGAGCAGCAGGTAAAACATAAATAGAAGAGAATTTCCCAATAATTTTTCGGGAAAAAAGAAGACCGTTGCTTTAGAATGTTACAGATCTTCATTGCCAAGTATTTATAAGAGGAGGTGGTGCTGTCATGGGCATTAGACTGAGTTTTGTGGAACCTGAAACAGGTAACATTGGCAGGAGCCTTGTGGGGATTCCACTCTTTTACACTCTTGTATGTTTATCTTACAATAAATGGATGTAACCTGTATTTTCACGTGAGCATGCAGGGGACCAACTTACCCAAAATACTTCTTTAAGAAGATAAATCCAGGCTTAGGTTTGATTCTGCTGTTCATGTTACACAGGCAAAACACCCCCAGTGTGAATTTTCTATGGATTCTGCTCAGGTCATTCCTATGAGGGATGGGATTTATAGTAGTCTGTCTTTCCTTTTTATACACTGCTATAAATAGTGTCTGCTGCTCAGCTTTTTAGGCAGTTACCTTAAGCAGCAAGTTTCTTATTTTTTTTGTTATGTACAAGTTAACAAACACCCTCTAAGCGAATAAATAACATGAAGGATAATAGAACTACATCATAGATGTTCACAGATATAGATTTTGCTTTGTTTCTTTGTTTCCTGAGACAAGGTGCCACTACATACCCACCGGCTGTCCTGGAACTAGCTACATGGAAAAAGCCAGCCTAGAACTCACAGATATCTGCCTCTGCACCCAGAGCAGTAGTTTAAAGGGACGCACCACACCCAGCTCTGATGGAAATTTGAAATGTCTCCTGTCATAACAGAGCACAATAATCTAATGATGCTGCCAAAAGAGTCTTCATAGGACAGCAATTTGTTCCTGTCATTTGAATCTGCTTTCCTCACAGTTAATATAAAAGATAGGCAAACAAGCCTCCTTAAAAACTGTTTATGGTTCTTTCACTTTATGGTGATAATATATTGTAAGTTCAGAATAGAGACATTACTGTGTTTTTCTGTACTTTAATTGGAGATGAGAGCTATTTGAGGGTTGTTAACCACAAGAATTGAGAAGAATGGCCTTGTTCTGGAGAGTAAGTTCAGGGGGGCTCAACTGTGTACCTAAAATAGGCTGTGACCACTACAGTTTCAGAAACTAAACTGAACACGTCTGACTAGGAATATTGTTTAATCTTCTTTGTACTAAGAAAAACTAAGATGATAAACATTCATGAGCACCCTCTGCCACCACAGCATCTCATTTGACCCGGGGCAGCTGTGCACAGACCTGGTTCTGGAGTATTTCCAGGCAGTTCCTGAAGGGAAGTGGTTTCCCCCCAAGACGTTCATGATATCTGACTGCTCTACTTGTGTCAAGGAAGAAATAGGGAGTCACCTTCATTTAGTGTAAATTAAAGGCCCTTCTTGGGGAGGAGGCTGCTTGTGAAGCCAAGTCATGAACCTAATATGATGAATCCGACAAGAGTAGGTAAAGTTAAGAAACGATCTCATGCTCAACCCACCCCTCAGACCCAAATAGCTGCATGCTGCCAGTATTACTGTCTTTATTTTGACTGACTTCTATAACATTCAGAAGTGCTGCAAGCTTCACAGCTCTTTTATATCAAGCCTCTACAACAGCCTTCCGTTACCACTGCAATGATGAGGCAGCAATGATCCAATCCTATCAGGGCCTGGCTGGCTCTGCAGAGGCGTTGTGGTGTAAAGTTTAACATTCGAGTGTCATCTAGAAATGAGTTTTGAAAGATATATCAATTTTGGAGTGAGAGTGTGATGCCAGATGGAAAGTCAATGGGAAAGAATGATAGGGCTATCAGCAAGGTCCAGAATGGACAGTCTGGAATTGGGGAAAACACAAACATAATGAATTTTTTAGCATATTTAGAGGCTTAGCATTGTGCTATATACTTGTAGTCCAACCATGACTTAGACGCACTTACTACCAGAAAAAAATCCCTCTATGCAAGCAAGGGTGTTCAGAATGCAAGAAGCCAAGCTTCACAGACACACACTCAGACACACACATAGATGCACACACACTCATGCACACTCACACACACAGAAATACTCTCCGAATGTCTAAACTTACAAAATACTTAATAATAGGCTGATCTATTTGCTCAACAAGGAAAAAAATGTGTCACCTTAGAGTGCCGAGTACTTTCATCTGAACAACACTGGATGAGCTCAGATATTCTCTATGTGAACTTGTCCAGCCTTCTTCTCTTTCCCACAGTGGGTCATAGAAACTACGTCTTCCTCAATGCAGCCATGGCATTGACCAATAAAACCCCTTCCTCCTCTGTGGTCCTTCGGAAAGGCTAGTTGCAAGGACTTGAACTGACCTACAATGGCTAATTGTAGGTCACAGACACAGCATTCCAGAGGTGACAGGCTAAGCCTAAGTAGGGGGTAATGCCAGAAAGGCTGAGGGAGAATGAAAGGCAAGACAAGTCCTTCTGAGCATCTCCTTAGTCAGTTATGACATCTAGTGCTTCATTCAATCCCACATACAAATACTTGTTTATTTGCTATTGAAATTGCTCATGAAGAATGACAGCTTTCTCCGGGTATCTGGGGTTTCACTTCCAACAGGTCCAGATGTTTTCTTAGGGCTCTGGAGAATGTGGCTCAAAGGACACCAAAGCAAAGGCAGGAAGAGCATTTGTTAAGATGTGCCAGAATCACGGCTTAGATAAAAAAATACCTCCTGGCATAATCAGAACACTTCCTTTGATTCTAAAGCCAAGAGCAAGTACAGTGTAACACTGCAGCATTTCTCTATGTTTTCAACAGAAACCTCCTCACCCCCACATTCAGTAAAATATTTGCATCTTAAAAGTCATCCTCAATTTTCACTTATGGTGATCATCACAATAAAAATACGTTAAGATGTAAATATTACATATAATTTAATCTCATTTTACTGACATTCCATTATACCCACTTATAAAAGTCTAAGTGTTTATTCCAGCACTGCAGGAGAAAAGGCAGAAAGAAAAAGAACATGAGGCAAGGGCCTTTACTCTCTCTCTGTCCTTGGATGAGAATGAGTGGGCTGTAAGTAATTCTCATACACTTTATTGCAGAACGCAGAACGTTCTACTGTCTTCAAGAGAGCAAGTCTGAAATGAATGCCATGGGTTATGTTGCGGAACAATATTTTTGTGCACTGTGAAGATGTGTTGCTCTCACTGGTTTAATGAAGAGCTAAATGGTCAACAGCTAGGCAGGAGGAGGCTAGGTGGAACTTGTGGACAGGGAGAGAGCTCTCTGAGAGGAAGAATGGCAGTTTCCTGACAGACAGCAGGAGCACAACATGTAAATGTCATGAGTCATGAGGCAACATGTGATTGATGAAAAAGAGTTAATGCAAGTTGTAAGAGCTAGCTAGTAACAATTCTAAGATATCAGCTTAGGTATTATAATTAATAAGAAGTCTCTGTGGGGGAATCCAGCATGGGACTGATCAAGACCCCCTGAATGTGGGTGTCAGTGAGGAGGCCTAGGTAATCTATTGAGCCTTGGGCAGTAGATCAGTACCCATCCCGAGTATACACATGGACTTTGGACTCCCATCCAACAATGTGAGATGCACTCTCACCCTGAACTCTTGGGGAAGGGTCTAGGCCCTGCCCTGTATGAAATGACAGACTATGGCACCCCCATGGAGGGCCTCACCCTCCCTGGGGAAATGAGGGGATAATGGAGGGGTTGGGGGAGGGCAAGGTAGGAGGGGAGGGAAAGGGAGAGGGACCTGGAACTGACTTGTGAAGCAACCTTGTTTCTAATCTAAATTTAAACTGAAAAATATATAAAAAAATAAAAAATAAAAAACAGGGCCTCTTTTTCTTTAATTTTTTTATCCTTACATATGCATCTGTGTTACAAGTGTGTTATATATGTGACATATATATGACATATATGTAAGTGTTTGTATATAAATAAATATATAACTATAACTTGGAAAAAAAAGAAGTTTCTGTGGGTATTTGGGAGCTGACTGGCAGGACAAAAAAAGTCTGTCTACAGGGTTATATCAAGGAAGCTGGGAATCAATTGCCCTCATTCTTTATTCAGCAATTTGTATAATCACATACATGCCTCTCTTTACTTTCTTGCTTCATTTCTTGGTAAAAATGACCAAATATAGCCGGGCATTGGTGGTGCACGCCTTTAATCCCAGCACTTGGGAGGCAGAGGCAGGCGGATCTCTATGAGTTCGAGACCAGTCTGGACTACCAAGCGAGTTCCAGGACAGCCTCCAAAGCCACAGAGAAACCCTGTCTCGAAAAACCAAAAAAAAATGATCAAATATTTAAGTCAGTGATAACAAAGTTAATCTTTCCCTGTAGAGATCTGTAACTTAGTCACGTCTGCAAAGCCTCTTGTGACAGCAGACAATGCTCCTAAAGGCCATGAATTCAGAACCATGAATTGCCATAGACAGCTATTCCTCTCTTCATATTCTCAGTGGATGCAGGTTTCTGAAGTTCAGATTTCGACCAGATAGACCTGTGACTGAAAGTGTCCACGAACTTCCGTTAAGATTGCAAGGTCACCAGTCAAATGTATGTGTTGAAACTTTCTCTATGTATGCTGTATTCTATGGAAATCTACCAAAGGCAACTCTCCTAAACATTTAATGACTATAAGTAGAGTCATAGGAGCTTTAAATACATTAGAACTAAATATCCCTTGGACTACAAATGAACCTAGTGATTCACTCATACTCATTAATTAAAAGGTGGGAATATAGAGGAAACCCCAACAGTGCCAAGAGTGATTCGTCATTAGAAAGTCCAGAAATTTCAATTAGTCCAAGTAATATTTTTGGTAGATGGGTAGGTGTTGGGCAGGCATTTGGGAGGAAAAGTAGGCAAGACGCTTACCTTAAATAATAAATCCTTCTTCCCATAACGGAGCTCTTTCAGTTGGGCTTGGATTTTTTTTGACTGTAAAAGCAGAGGTATGCATTAGTGCCTGTGCTCACTTGTATTTTCAATCTTAAGATTTATTTTTTTTCACACTGCACAGAAATAAATGCTTCAGCCTACTCAAACAGAAGCCTATAATTTGGACAATCAACATAGAAGACTAAAGTTAGCTTTGACATCAGACATGTAGACATCTGGGTCAGGAAGCAAGGATTCAGCCTTTTTAAAAAATTATATGTTTATGAAGGTGTTATTTAAATAAATTTTCTGTGTTCTACTCAATACATAAACACGCAAAATATCTATAATTCTGGAATGAAAAATCTAATTTTAAGTAGCAAAGACGTGTGTAAATCTCTGTTTTTATTTAGTTACTTTTAAGATGGATGATGAGTAAAGTGTAAATGAATTGACATGTTTTTATTTACTGTATTTTCAATGGAAGCTAGCAACTAAAATGGACAGAATGCCAGAGAAATTCTATTATTGAAGGGTGAATTAGGTTACAGAAGATCACACTTTATAACTGGATCCTTATAAATATAAAAATGCTTAACAAACTCAATTTCTCCTAATGATATACTGCTACACACATTTACCTCATCCTTATAATTTGTCTGTATAGCAGCAGAAAGCGATGAATCCTTAGCCCTTTTTGAAAAGACACAGTTACCAATACTGCAATGGAAGTCGCTCAGTTCACTGAATTTCTACTCTTGTTATAGTAGGGTCCTCCTACTTCACTGGGGAGAAACATGTACATGGGCATATCCACACATGTACATATACACACGTGATCATGGGCGATTGTACAAAGTGTAATGAAGAATAGTGGGTGTTTTATTTTTGCTACATAGATCATTGTAAATGTAATTCCAAACATCAGCTCATGGAGGACATGGAGTGTCTGCATGCACATGAGCTAATTACTGCTGGGAATAATGGTAACAGCAGCTAGAAGAAAACCATGGTGAGGATGTAGGCATTCATGACAGAACATTTTAGCTTCATAGTCTCATTTAGGAGACAATTGTCTAATTTGAGCTTCCTTCCTAAAAAATTTATGTTCGAATAACTTTCCCTTTATAAAATAATAGTGGTGGTGATGGCAGATGGTGCTGGTAGTACTTGCAGTTTTTAATGTTGGTTGTATAACTATTTTCTCTGGATTGAAACATTAGCTCTTGGAGGAGGGAGGCTCCTAAGACTCGGGAAGCTGATTATTGTTCACTATGCTCAGGAAGTCCAGGAATTCAGAAGCATCCTGGCAGTCACATCAAGGTCACATAAACAGTGGTGATTTCTGGGTAGTAGGGAATCTCTAACCAACTAAATTTTCTTCCATCGTGCACCGAGGCCAGAGAGATGCAGCTTTTTTGAGCCTTTGCCCATGCTGTGTGAGGATTTCCATGATGCAGCTGCCTTTATTCATTCTGTTTCTAGTGCCTTATGTGTGGTGAATACGTATTTGTTCACATCTCCCTAGGAAAGGTCACAGCACGAGTTCTTCTATGCCAAACCACAGCGTAATTCATTCCTGTGTGGCCCAGATGATCAGGCACTTTCAGCTAGCTAGTCTCCAGGAGAAAAGACTGGTTTTTTTTTTGTTTTAAGAAATAATGATGAATCAAACAGTAAAATTTTGTACATGTTATTTTAAAATACTACTATGACAGTGTAAACATTTCCCTTGTTGCCCAGAATACTGAACTCTAATATTGTTCTATAAATATTTAACAAGGTATGGCAAAGCAAATAAGTTATATGAACTAATGGCATTTCAACCATTAAGGAAATAGCATGAAGAACAAAGCTATGAACAAATGAGATTTAATTTTCACTGAGCTGAGGGAAATTAAATCTTCAATGAAGAGGTAAACTATAAAGGTAGGCACTATTTAATTTCCCGAGCACCATCGATACTTCTAGTGCCCCTTCTCTCCTGTACTTGAGTTTTGTGGGGACTCTGGTAACACATTCAATGTAAATTTTATCCAGATGCTTTCCATCTTTTATTGTTTCTTGAGATAGAGTCTTAAGTGGCTCCTTCAAGAGTCACTGTTGCAGCTGAGAATGACCTTGAACTCTTAATCATCCAGTCCAACAGCCCAAGTGCTGGTTTCACAGGTGCCTGTATCACATCTGGCTTAGATACTCCTTACTCAAAAATGTCACTCCACTTGCCATATCACAGTATAAAGCATCACTAATCAAATTTGTGCTATGTCAACAAGCCAAAGAACACGAAAAAAGTCCTTCTTATTTCTGTCCAAACAGAGCAAAATGCAACAAAATGAAGCACTTTCCTGGGGTCAGATCTCTCTGTGTCTCTCTCTGTCTCTCTGTCTCTCTCTCTCTATCTGTCATCTATATATCTATATCTATATCTATATCTATATCCATCTGTCTATCTATCTATCTATCTATCTCTATATATATATAAACTTATTCTCCAAATGATCATATCACATGTAAACTTTGAGGTGTGGTGTTATTTTTGATAATGGTTTGTCTTAGAATATTTTGAGTTCTCCTATTGCTTAGGCATGTGACTTTGTATTTACAAACAGAAGAGTAAGAGACATTGTGTTTCTTCCTAACTGAAGAACTAAAGACAATGTTTCTATTCCACAAAGAAAACTTCCCTTTTCCATCTATACAAAGGTGATATGAAAGGGATTCTTGACAAAAAGGAAGTGAGATAATTTCATAGTTAGATAATGATGGATCTGTTTGAGTAGCTCTCAGTCTCCCTTCTGGATATCTACGGGAAGGAGGGTCAACGCTCTATTAATGCCTTTCCATTTTCTACATAGGTGTCAGGTCTTCCCAGAATGGAAATGCTTCCATGTCTATTCCTTATAATTCACAGGATTTTTCAGTATGTAATTTGTTTCCATGTGTGTTTTCTAAATATTCCTGGGTCACGGGGACTGTTTTCTTATGTCTTTAAATTGCCCTTGCTTGCAAACTTTACTATTACTTTACTACGATCCTTAATAGCTCCTACAAGGTAAAGTTTTATTTTGAATTTAACATTAGGTCAGAATTAGATAAAACGGACTACAGTGTTTTAATATCTATTACTCAGAATGTTTGTTCCTGCTTGAGTAATATATGAGAAAATATTGTTGTACAGAAGATAGAACAAATGGGTGTCTTTGCTTGGTAAAATTACATAATCCAAGGAATTTTACTGGTGGTATATGGATGTCACAAATCATAAGGAAAATTCAGTGGAAGTATGACAATTATCCTGCTGGGGAGAACTGGTCCATACAATTGAGATAGGAGTTAGTGAATTATCTTATGGGCATGGCATTGGGTACATTTCTATATTTTTATTTGTGTAATGTGGAAATAATTAGATATACACAAAACTAAAATGTGTTTTATTTTGTATCCAGCACTTTTCATTTGTGTTAGGGAAAAGCCATCAGTTCTTCAGATTACACAAGATTTAATTTAATTTAAGATTTAATTTAAACTTGTGAAAAAGGACATATTTTCTCACCTCTTCTGCATGAATCCCACACAGCTTGCTTCCTGACAACAGTTTGGTTTTCAAGCTTTTATTCTGAGGAAAGAAAGAGAATTTTACACAAAATGTAATAAATAAATAAGAACGCCCTCATTTAATTCAGTCACATTACTCCATGTTTGGCTCGCAGGTTAAAGTTACGTGTTATGCAAAGAATTTGTAAGAGTTTGTTATTCATTCTAAAACCATTTTTGCAGCTAAAATTTTCATCAATTATTATTAGGATATTTACTCAAAAGAATAAAACTTTTGCCAATGAGATGACTCAGTAGGTCAAGGTACTCATCACCAAGTGAGATAACTTGAGATTTAAACCAAGGACACACATGATGGAAGGAGAGATCATGTGGTCTTATGATCTCCACAGGCATGCCATGACACATCAGGAAGAACACACTCACACACACACACACACACACACACACACGCACACGCACACACGCCACACGCACACAGGGGGCACACATACAAATGTAAAGAAAAAATTAAAATACAAAAAAATTTACCTGGAGTTTTTCTTCACTTATGTCTCTTTGCTTTTACGTGTAGTTTGATAAAATAACCTCAGCCCGACGTGATCTCTCCATGCTATTGTCTGCATGCATCTCTCTGATGGCACCTGCACTAGGGGCACCTTATTGCATCTGCATTGCCCCTGGAGACTAGCTTCAGAATCTTATAACTCATGGATAACCTTCATATGGAAAGGTTCTTTCATATTTAGAAAGCCAGTTCTGATTCCAGGCCTCATAAGTGAGTGATATGTTAGCCTTATCAATCTTCCAACATCGGCAGAGGATGGGAGGTAAATACTGGTTTCTCTGAGTCTTGTTGACCCTATGATATAAACCATAGTCTGTGATGGGGACTGAGCACGGGTGCTGGGCAATGCTAGCTTACTGCTCCACTGCTGAAATACATACTTCACAGACATTCTTTTCCATCTGCAAAGTATAGAGAACTCCAAATGAAAATGAAGTGTCTTTAACTCCGTCCCTAAATTTTAATCTTTTTTGTCTTTCCTTTGAGGCTCCATTTGACAGTTCATCGAAGAGGCACTTTCAGTCGCTCTATAATGTTCTTGATTTCACTGTATCTATGGCATCCCAAGAAGAAACTCCAAAAAATAAAACAAGAGTCTCATTCTTTTCCATTGGGGGAAAAAAGAGAGATCGGGAAATATAAACACAGCAGCTTCAAAGCGCAGAGAATCTGACACTCCACACCAGGCATTCTTTATTCTTTCTTAATGAGACTTTCTGCTCTAGTCAAGTTAGGCTGTCACTGCTCCTAACCCAGACAGCCTGATAGACCAGTTGCCCAAGTGTGTAAATTGCTGCTATGCACCTCTTACCTACACTCATTTCAATTTCTGTTAGTGTCCATGAAATTTTCTGCCTGCACATGGTGAAAGCATGTTCAATTAGCAGTCTCTTCCCAGCTCTGTAGTACACTTTCTGCTGCTGGTATTTCTCCAAAATTGAACACATACCCAGGCACCAAGGAATTCTCAATAGATGCAGTAAAATTGAAAGAATACCCTGCATCCTATGTGGCCACTACAGATTAAAGGTGGATATCACACAATAGAAACAATAGAAAGCCTACAAACTCATAGAAACTGAACAACTCACTACTGAGTGAAAAATGACTTAAGAAAGAAATTTAAAAAACTTTCTAGAATTGAATGAAAATGAATATACAACATATCCCAAATATGTGACACAATGAAGAAGATTCTGAGAGTCAAGTTCATAGCCTACAAAAAATGTTAAAGAGTTTTAATGCTAGTAACTTAACAGCACACCTGAAAGCTCTAGATCAAAAAGAAGAATGCACACCCAGGAGTAGATGGGAAGAAAATAAAAACAAAGAGGTGAAATCAATAAAATAAGGACAGAGAAAAATGCAAAGAATCGATGAAAGAAAGAGCTGGTCCTTTAAAACAACCAATAAAATTGACAAACACTACCCAAATTAACTAAAAGTCAGAAACAGAGTATCCAAATTAAGAAAATTAGAAATGAATATAAAAGAAATGCCGAGGAAGTCCACAGAATCATACTTTTTAAACTTTTACTCCACCAAAAGAAATGGATAATTTTCTCAATATGCACCACTTACCATATGCAGTAAATCAAGATCAGATAAGCAATTTAAACAGACCTATGACCTCTAGCGAAATAGAAGCCATTATTAAAAGTCATCCAACTAAAAATGCCAATGGCTGGATGGTTTTAGTGCAGAATTCTACCAGACTTTCAAAAAAGAGTTAATGCTAATATTTCTCAAATTATTCCAGAAAAGAAACAGAAGGATCATTGTCCAATTTGTTTTCTGAGGCCACTGCCACTCTGGTAACTATAACACATAAGGAGTCAGTGATGAAAGACAATTTCATTTATAGATGCAGAAATTGTCAATACAATACTCTAAAACTGAACCTAAGAACACATTAAAAAGATCATCCACTATGATCAAATAGGCTACAAAAAATTGATAAACGTAATCCAGCGTATAAGTAGACTATAAGAAAAAACAATATGTTAACCTTAGTAGATGCAGAAAATGCCTTTGACAAAATTTAAGGCCCCTTAATTATAAAATTCCTGGAGAGATTAGGGTCACAAGGGATATACCTCAATAAAATAAAGGCAGTTTATAAGAAGCCCACAGCCAACATTAACTTCCATGGAAAGAAACTGAAAGCAATTTTACTTAAATCTGGAACAAGACAAAATTGTCCACTCCCTCCAAATCTATTCAACATAGTACATAATTCTTAACAAGCACAACAAGATAACTGAAATAGATCTTGGAGATGAGATTCAGTTGGGAAGGAAAAAGTCAAAGTTTCTTTATTTGCAGACGATATGACAATATACATGAGTGATCCTAAAAATTCTATCAAGGAACTCCTACTGCTGATAAATTCTTTCATTAAAATACCTGGATAAAAATTCATACACAAAAAGAGAAAGAAGTCAGGGAAACAATACCTTTTGCAATGATCACAAATAATAATAAAAAAGTCTTGTAATAACTTCACATAGGTAGGTGAAAGATTTGTTTGAGGTGAAACATCCAAGTTTTTGAAGAAATTGAAGAAGGTATCAGAAGATGAAAGATCTCCAGTGCTCATGGATCAGTAGGATTAACATTAAAAGTATCTTTTCAACCAGACATTGGTGGTGCACACCTTTAATCCCACCACTTGGGAGGCAGAAGCCGGCGGATCTCTGTGAGTTCGAGACCAGCCTAGTCTACCAAGTGAGTTCCAGGACAAGCTCTGAAACAATACAGAGAAACACTGCCTCCAAAACAAAACAAAACAAAACAAAACAAAACAAAAAACAAACAAAAAAGTATCTGTTCTACCAAAAGCAATCCACAAATTCAATGCAAGCCCCACGTAATTTCAACCCAATTCCTTATAGATCTTAAAAGTACAATTTTCAGCTTTACGTGGAAAATCAACAACAAAACCCCAGGATAGTTAAAACCACATTGAATAATAAAAGAGCATTCACCAATTTCAAGTCTTACTACAGAGCTACAATAATAAAAACATGTTTGCGCGCAGTATTGGCACAAATTTATGACCCACACACAAATCAACACACCTATGGACACCTGATTTTTTTTTATAAGGAAGCCAGAAATGCATAGTAGAAAAACATAGCATTTTCAAACACTAGTGCTGGTCAAACTGGATGGCTGCATGTAGAAGAATCTAGACATGCCCACACTTATCACCCTGCACACAGCTCAACTCTAAATCAGCCAAAGACCTCCACAGAAGAAAAAATGGGGAACAACCTTGAACTCATTGGCACCAGAGATAGATGACTTTGTAAACAGAACACTGTTAGTGCAGGTGCTATTATCAACAAATAAGTAAACGGACCTCATGAAACTGAAAGGCCTCTGTGGGGCAAAGAACACTGTCATTCAGACAAAGTGGCGGCCTACAGGAAGTGGAAGAGTTTTACTAAATACACCTCCACTAAATGGATAATATCCAAAATCTATAAAGAACTAAAAAAAACTGGATATCAAAAAAACCCAAATAACCCAATTTAAAAATGGGCTATGGATATAAACAGGGAATTCTCAAAAGAGGAAAGTCTAATGACTGAGAAACACTTAAAGAAATGTTCAATATCCTTAACCATTAGGGAAACGTGCATCAAGGTGACTTTGATATTTCTTCTTATACCTATCAGAATGGCTAAGATCAATAAAGTTAGTAAAATCTACTGCTGCAAGGACGTGGACTGGGGGAAACACTCTTCCAATGCTGGTGGTGTTGCACACTAATGTAACCAGTATGGACATCAGTGATATGATTCCTCAGAAAGGAATTGATCTATCCCAAAACCAAGATATGCAAGTCTTGGGGATATAGACAAAGGATGCCTCACCCCACCACAGAGACACTTGCTCAGCCATGTTCATGGCTGCTCTGTGGAAACAAACTAGATTTCTGTCAACAAATGAAAGGGTAACATGTGGTATATAATGGAGTATTACTCAGATTTTAAAAACCCTGAAATCATTCAATTCTCAGGCAAACGGATGGAACTAGTACAAAAAGTCATCCCGACTGAGGTTTTCCAGATCCAGAAGGACAAATATAGTATGCATTCCTTTATAGGCGGATATCAGCTGTTAAGTCAGTGATAATTCAGCCTTAGTTCTTCCAACTACAGAGGTTAGATAAAGAACAAGGGACTAGGGTTACAGATAGATAGACCTTGTTAGGGAAGGCAAATAGAATATAGAATTATGTAAGGATTAAGGAAGAATGGAATGGGGGTACCAAGCAAGGATAGGGAAGGAAGAGGAGGAGATGGGAGAGAATATGGAGACAGCTAAAATTAAAGTCCATTTGAGGAGTACTATGGAAATCTGATAGAGTAGAAGTTTCCTAAAATGTATACATATATGAAGACTGACGGTGATTTAAATGAAATTGCTAATTAAGGGGGAAAGCAGAGTCCTGACAGGCCATCCTTACTTATCACCAAATGAAG